TGTACCAGTATTGGTCCTTTGGTGATCTTGGTTCTTAGTTCGTCGAATGCTTCTCTTTCTTTGGTGCCCTATTCCAATTTGACATCCTTTTTTGTTAGGTTATATAATGGTTTAGCGGTTCGGCTAAAACCTTCTATGAACCTTCGATAGAAGTTGCAAAATCCCATGAAGTATTGGATATCCGTTTTGTTCTTTGGGTATTCCCATTCCCATATGGTTTTGGTTTTAACTGGGTCCATCTGTACCCCTTCTCCATTCATGATGAATCCTAGATATTCGGTTTCCTTTTTGTGGAATTCGCATTTGCTGGGTTTGCACCTCATTCCTGACTCTTTGATGTCGGCCATTATGTTGCTAACGTCCTTTCGGTGTTGTTCCATATCTTTGGAGTATATTAGTACATCGTCCAGGTAGACGATGCAACATATATCCAGGTATTTGTAGAGTACTCTGTTGATCCATCGTTGGAACGAGGCCGGTGCATTAGTTAGCCCGAATGGCATAACCCAGTATTGGTAGGTCCCATATTTTGTCGCGAATGTTGTCTTCCATTCATCTCCTTTCTTGATTCTGACATTGTAATAGGCATCCCGAATGTCCAGTTTGGTGAAGTATTTGGCTGACGCCAGTCGATCCAATGCTTCTCCTATTAGGGGTAGGGGATATCTATCCTTTTTTATTATGTGATTAAGTGCTCGGTAATCAATGCATAACCTTAGTTTTCCATCATTTTTTTTAATGAACAGGATGGGTGATCCTCCGTTGGCGCAGGATGGCTGAATCCATCCTCTTTCCAGGTTCTGTTGAATGTATTTTCTTAGTTCCTCCAGTTTGGTTTCTCCTACCGGATATATTCTTTTCTGAAGTAGTCCTTTGCTAGCTTCCTCGAAATTGATTTCCAGATCGACATCTGGCCTGTGGGAAGGTAACTTGGTTGATTCCTTTTCTTGGAACAAGTCTAGATGTTGATGGTATTCCTTGGGTACCAATCGGTCTAGTTTTTCGTCCTTTGTCTGTGGTTGACTTCTTATGGCTAGCTCTGTGCTGATATTGATTTTTGCTAGGCTTGTTCCTTGGTTTTGATAATCCCATTTGAGAATTCCTGCCATTTCTCCCTTGCGATAGAATTTCCCGAAGGCTTGCGCCAATATCCTGTTGATTTCGATCCTTAGTGCTTTCTCTGGTGGCGGCCTTTTCTGGTCTGTGCTGCCAAACCCTTTGGTTCCTCTGGTGGTTTTGGTCAGGTTCTCCACTTCTTGGAGTTCCTCTTCATTGATTTTTTCGATAATCAATTGCGCGATCTTATCGCCTCTTTTCACCATATAGTCTTTGTTGTCCTGGTTGACCATGACCACCTTCAATTCACCTGGATAATCAGCGTCTATTACTCCAGCATTGGTAGTGAGTCTATGTTTGACTGCGAGACCGCTGCATGGTGCAATACGCCCATAGGTTCCTTGAGGTAACTCAATGGTTATGCCCGTTGGAATAATTACCTGCCCGTTGGCCGGTATCTTGACTTCTTCGCTAGCATACCTGTCATGTCCTGCTGCCCTCTCGGATCCTCTTGTGGGTATCTTTGCCTCTTGGCTTAGCTTCTTGACTTTGATCTTTGGATTCTTTCTTGGTTGAACTTGATTGAACCTCGCATCTAGGTTCTCTTGGATTGCTTCTTCTTCTGGTATTACGTATATTACCGGTGAGCTGTTGAGACACCATGTCATACATCGTTCGCTGGTAAACACAACCTTTCCTTCTTCCCAACTGATGGTAGGGTTGTGTTGTCGTAACCATGGCATCCCTAGGATTATCTCATGGTGGTGCAGGTTCGCCACTTGGAAGGTCGCCACTTCCCTATGATTCCCAATGTTCATAGGTACTTGCGCTGTATGGGTAATTGGCCCCATATCGCTGGGTTTTCCGTCTGCGAGGTAAATCTGCCTTTTTCTCTTCGTTTTCTTGGTCCTTAACTGGTATGTCTTGCAGACTTCTTCGTCTATAAAGTCTTGCATTGCTCCTGAGTCGAGCATCGCATGTATCTTGATTGCTTGTTTTTTGTCGTTATATATTGTGGTTTTGATCATGATATGATCATTGTCGTTATTGTTTTTCTGACTTGAAAGAGTGTAGTAGTTTGCCTTTGAGATGGGTTTGTCTTTCAGAGGGTCCCGCAGACCATCTATTGCTGGGGACCTTTGTCTTTTGCCACCGTTTCATATTCTTCTTCGATATCGATTTCCCTGATATTGCTGCGGGGTTGGAATCTAGTACTTGGCCTGGTGTTCTGTTGGCCTCTTCCTTGACTGGGATTGGCAGGCTGTCTGCAGTCCTTAATCATGTGCCCTGCTATTCCGCATCTTAGGCACAGGTTGTTGTTTCTTCTCCTAAGGTATTCATCTCTTCCGAGGTTGAGCGACGGTCTTTTCCTTGTTGCGTTCAAGTCCATTGCATCGCCTCCTTGCGTGGTGGTCCTACAGGTCCCATTCTGGTTTCTGGGGTTGTTTTGGTTTCTCTGGTATGTTTGGTTAGACTGGCTTGAGGCTGGCTGAGTCTTTTGTATCCAGTCTAGTTGTCCAAATTAAATTTCTTTTCGAATGGCCCAACTGGCCATAGCTTCCGTCGTTGTGAATTTTTCTTTGCTGTATCTCCAGGCTTCTTGATAGGTCCTCTTCAGGCCTTTCATGAACTACCTCATTGCTGTTGCTTCGTCACATTCAGCATCGTATTGGAGAAGTCTGAATTTGTACCAATAATCGGTAACATTTTTTGTTCCTTGTCTGATGTCTTCCAATTTATTCCACGCCAATTGGCTTAATTCCATATTCATAAACTGGGCTTCGAATATGATTTTGAAGCTGTCCCAGGTTGTCCATGGTACGGGTGTCTGACTGAGCACTATAGGAGTAACCCACTGTAGGGCTGCTCCTTCGAGTAGTGTCAAGGTGTAGCGTATTTTGTCGTCATTGTGTTCTTGGTTCCACTCTACTGCATTGAAGTATGTGAGGAGTTGGACCATAAATCCTCGTAGTTTGCTTCTTTCCCCATCGTATCTTGGTAGTGTTTTGACTTTTGGCTTCTGATCTTTGTTTCGGAATTCCTCTCGTATCATCTGTTGCACTTCTTCACGAGTGAACAGGGCTGGTCCTGCTAGTGGCGGTGCTGGTCCTGACATTCTTTCCGGTCTTGGTGTGTCTGGAGTTTCTTCTGGTATGGGTGGAGTGATTGGTTCTGGGGTGACAGGACTAGTTGATCTTACTGAGTATCGACTTCCTTCGCTAAGTGCTTCTTCCAACCCTCCTAGTCCTAGACTGTCGTCTTGGACGTCTATGCCAGTGTCTCCCTCGTGATCTCTGTTGAAAGGATCTGTGGTGTAATCATTAAGTGTCGCGTTGTAGACATGTTCTAATGTTAAGAATCCTACCGAGTAGGACCTAGCGACAGGTAACGATACTTCTCTTAGTGTAAGGCGATAGTTCTCAGGCCTGTGCCTACACTACTCCAATAGCCCAGTCCTGTGACTACTATCTTATTCGCGCCTATCTCCTTAGACTTCTCCTTAGTCCTCGTTAGGACTTAATCTTTTCTCATGAGAGGAAAGACACTTCTCGGGTTTCTTAAGATAAATCTTAAAGAGCGTAAAGGTGGGTTTTATTGATAATAATTTAAAGGTAGGAAATAAACAAGAAGAACGTGTGAAGAGCTAATACTCGGGGTCCTAGTGACCCCTTTATATAGTAGCTCTTCACCTGGCGTGACTCATACCTCGCATCACGCGATCCCTGTGACTCATAATCATGAGTCATGTAAAATCCATCAGACGACTCCTATGAGTCGCTGCGCAACATACCTAAAACCAATCAAAACATAATAACCCAGTCAAGTGCGTAACTCGCATCACCTGAGTGAAATCCATGACTCATAAGTTGAGTCATGTGCGAAAATCATAACATCGTGTGACTCACAACTGTGAGTTACGAACAGGTAAACATAATAACCTATGGCGCACTAGTGTACGTCATATGAAATCCCAACATACCTATAACTCGGAAATCCGAGCTATGTGAAATCTGCCTTGCTTAGTCACAGTTTGTGACAATAACTACCATATCAAAGCTATACAATAACAAAATACTTGTAGTATAATAAGGAAAGGGAAGGAAGGAAGGAAGGAGAATATGACTGATGCACAGTATCATTTATACCAAGCGCACAGCATTAGCCATGCTGGACATATGATACTAGTAGACTCCTCAATATTAAGTGCAATCAGTCACAAAATTAGAACCGCATAACGAGTAGCAAGTTGGAGGAGGTAGTAGAGAATTATTATTAAGCAGGAAAAGATATGCTCTAAAATTACAACACATGCAGAGCTAAGTCAGTCTACCTAATTGAAAAAAAATAAATAGGCATTTCAGGTGACTAACAATAATATCATGGACACTTAGTAAGATATATATTTGATCGGGTGGCAGGAAGGATAGTAGAGAATGAAGGTGAATTATTAGAATTTACTACTATGATAGTAGATTGAGTACCTGAGTCATACCCAAGCTCACACAACCTACCGGTCTCGGGTCATAGGCATATTGACCGTGAAATGTATGTATGGGCATTTAAACAAAGGGCCTGACTGCTCGGACTTCTCCATCTTATTACCAGCCAATTACAAACCCTGAGCTCCATCAGAACCTTGAAATAGTTAGGTAACACGTATTATGTAACTCAAGATTTTGGATTAACTGAAAACAATCAAATTATTTCTTATTCCCTTGAAGTCTCAAGGGTCCTATCAGTGATAGTGTGCTCGGGTACACGAGTGCTGATAGGACGTACCATGCAGAACGGGATGCAAGGGCCTAGCATGTGTATCTCACGCGGGTAAAACTCAAGTTACGCGGCTGGAAGTATTCGAGGCTTCCGGAATCCGGATATGCACGAGCACCACCCGCACAAGAAAGCCGGGGGAGTGCACCGTTTTCTGCCCAAGAACTTTAACGAAAATGAAAATCCAAGTTTTTATTCACACGATATCACAGCAATTCAGCTAGAACTGTACATTCCAAAAAACTATACCCCTCTCCAAAAAAAAAAACCCTACTGCCCGCACGGATAATCCCTTCGCCCAACAAAGTTAAGCCATGTACAGTACGATGTTTGCATAACACCCCCATCTTCACCGTCCAGGCATACGCCAATATAATACATTCATCCTTCAAACCTCGTCGATTTCTCAAGCATGAACATCGTCAGGAGTCATAAACCTCGAGTGACCTTCCATGACCACGAGTTTCCCCTCCAGCATCTCCCCACAGGAAGAATCCGCTGCAAGCTGCAGACTACTGAGTCGGGTTCGTCTCTTGTGAAGCCATACGGTAGTGTTCACCCGCCAATAACCAAAGAGGGGAAGTGAAAGGAAAAGGAAAGGAAAAGCGACAGGTGCCTTGCCCACGTAATGGAAGAAAGAGAAGAAAAAGAGTAGCCTCCCTAGCAGAATGAGAAAAGGAAAGAAAAAGCCGAGCAAAACCAAACAAAACCAAGTAAATATGTCAAAACTCCGCCCAAGATCACAGCCCCCCGCGTACCATCCTCTGCACTCCCTCTCAACCCCGCCACCTCTTTGAAGATCTACAGTTGAAGAAAAAATGACAAAAACAACACAAAGCAATAGTGGAGGTGGCGGAATGATAAGGAGAGAATTTAGCAGACTGCTTAGCAAATCACACAACCACTTCTGCCCCTCCTCCTTCCGATAAATTCATCATCATCCCACAAAGCCTGTCTTCTCCTTCTACGCCTCCCGAGGGTGGGATCTTCGCTCAACATCATGTGCTCGGCCCATTTAGACTCGAGCCTGTTTGCGCTATCTCGATCACCCCTGAGAACCCTCTTCATGTGTTCATCAACAGTCTGCTGCCAGCCGTAGAAGCACTTCAGTTGAATCAATTCCGGTTTAAAGGTGCTGGGCGTAGAATCGGCATTGCGGGCGAGGATGTCGCGAACACCAGGCCATGTGATGCTCGCACAATCATAAACTACGAGCCTAAGGGCAACACGAGGGGAGCAAGACCCTGGAACCGGTGGAGAATTGGGAGGTGAGAGGCGATGTCGGACAGCATGCGCCGCCTCGCCCAGCACGAGATCCGACACTCGAGCTATGGTTCCAAGATTAGCCTCCAATTCCCCATAAAAATGGCTTGGACAGGTTACTATTGTCCATCTCTAGATTCCGCAGCCCGGGGCATTTACGGATGATCTCTGTCATCCCCTGGTCACCCATATTCTCGCAATAACTGCACTGCAAATGCTCCAGTTTCTTTGCTGCCGGGCCACGGGCCAAAGCCAACAGGGTTGCATTCGTTAATTCCGAGCACTCCTCCAAGTCCAAATGCGTCAACTTTCCCAAAGTTGGGAGGAGTGCAGTGAATCCCGAATCAGTCAAGGAAACGCAACCTCCCAATTGTAATGCTTCCAAGTTAGGCACATTGCCAGCCAGGCTCCGCAATGCCTGGTCCGTCAGGTTGGCACACCTGCTGAGATCCAGGTCCACAAGCTTCCTTGGCGGGGCCCTCGGTTTGTTCGTGAAGGGGTCCACTTCGGGGTCTACACCTTCCACCATGATTGCAATTGCCGCATCATCAATACTCTCGCACGCTCCAAGGTGAAGAACCTCGAGCTTATTGGATTTGAAGATAGTCTGCATCGAGCCAGGGTCGTTGAACCTGGCAACTTCACAGGCCCTCAACTCTCGCAGGTTCTTACACTCCTCAACGATTTTCTTAATACCTCTTGCGTCCATGCTAGAACACCAGGATACATTTAGGCTCTCTAATAATGGGCAAGATTTGGAAATGAGTCTGCATGTACGATTGTTGGCCGTCTTGAGCCCGGCAATGTTGAGCTGAGCCAACCGGGGGTTGCGCGAGACTATGGTGTGAATGGTTGTTTGCTCAAACTTACAACCTTCCAGAGAGGCCGTGAGAAGGTTCCGACATGCGTTGACCACTACCTCCAGCCTCCAGTCGTTCCGCAATTGGACACACCCCCTGTTCCCAAGTTAGCGCCATACAAGCATCTAGTTTAGGGCAGTAGCTAAGGCGGAACTTACCGAAGGTTCAGGTTCCGAACAAAAGGGCCTGCACCTGTAATGATCTTCGAAAGCTGATCTACAGGAATCCTGTTATAATATCCTGTAGCATCCAAGTTACTCCATAGTTGCCCGTCAAAGCACAATGAATGCCATTTCCTGCTAACCTAAATTGCCGACCCACATAATCTGCTCTTAGTCACTTGAATTTCCCAGCTTCAACGAAAAACCCAGACAGCAGACAAAGCAAAACTTCAGTAACAAAGGCTATGGGCACTAACCGCCGAGCAGCGCACAAGCTCTCTAGGTTCCAAATAGCGGAGTATCTGAACCTGCACCTCCCCGGGGAGGCAACCCCACATATCGGTAAGCACCGGTTTCCTCCTCACCGAATTAGGAATCCCAACACTCATGTTATCGACTTGGCGGCGCGGGATATCCAACGTCTCCGCAACCCGGAACCCGAGCGGGCGTTCTGCTGCGGGGGTCACGGGGCGTGTTAGGTGAAGAGAGATACACGAGACGGAATGATTCTTTGAATACTGGTCTCTAACCGACGGCGGGTGCCCCGAATTGAGTTTTGAAAGCTGTGGGGATGACGAATTGCGGGTAATGCGAGCGAAGAATCTCTGGCGACGAGAAATGCGCGGTGCTTTAGTAAGACGAGTGTCCACAGCTTGGTCATTCACCAGGACCATTTTTTGAGCGGTGTAAGGGGTAGGAACAGTTATAACTAAGCGGGGAATATGAGCGAGAGGGGATGAAGGAAACCAGATGACAATCCGGAGGAGGTGGAGCTACCCTTAAGATTCCCTTGAAACCTAAGGACAGCGTTGACACCGGCTGTCCGAGTGGCTCGAAATCTGTCGAGACCTTTTGGGAACGTCCTGGGGGGGGTTTTGTCGAGATATCTCAACCAAGGCTTGAGGATGGCCAACAAGCTTTAAGGGTGATCCCACAAGAGGAGAAAGCTTATCTAAAAAGAAAAAACCGGCTCCGTTCGCGGGATCCAGTATCTATGCAACAACGTACGACAAAGTTGTTGGAATGCGGCTCAAGCAGAGGGGCAGATTCCTTGACTTGGAAGATGCGAAAGGGTCTATTGACAAAGGCACCAAGGAAATAGAGGGAGAGATCTTTATGAGGACAGGGCGAGAGGGAGAATATGGCAGACAGGAGAAGACGCAAAGGGAAGAAAGAGGAAGAGCCGGATCTTTGAAAGGGGAGGGTTTTGTTAATAGGCCATATGATGGGTCCAAACAAGCGGCATGCAAGTCAGCAGAGCATCGCGTGGTGAGTGGAGGGAAAATGTGTTTGAGATTTTTGCCGGTAGGGGGCCCTAGCCAGCCACACAAAAAAAAAGGGCTATGGTTAGGCCTTGGTGGTGTTGGGTTTCTGCGAGCCCGAGTGAAGGGCGTGGTGCTAGTGGTTGGGTTGGTGTTTATGGTGGGGCAAAAGGTGGAACGGACTGGTCCTGTGCCCGTGCCCCCAAGTTCCACATCGAGACCTTGAGATGGGGTTCCCGTCTCCTGTGAATCCTTCTTCCAGGAATTTGGAGATAAGTTGACCGAGTACGGCATACAGTAGAGCACATGGAACATCCGGCTCCTCCTTTTAGTCTCACGCCCAACCCGCCATCAAATACCGGTACTCGAGTACTCGAGTACTGTTTGACGAGAGAGTAATCCTTCCATCATAGCTACACCTCTTTTTTTTTCTTCTTCTTTTCTTTTTCTTTCCTTCCTCTCCTCTTGTCCCCACGCACTATTCCGAGGTCTTGACCCCACCGACGGAACGGTGAGGGGTTATGTATGCCACTACAGCACCTTCAGGCTAGATTCCTCGGGTTCTATTATGAGTTTAGTACTCCCCCCGCGTCGAGATCCCCGGTCTAGCCCGAAGGACAACTCGTCGACGGAATTACCGGTAGGAACGGGTGGTCTGGTGAGCAGTGGAATGGAGAAACAACAATCTTTGGTGACCGGGGATAATGCAGGGTCTGGTCCGGGCGCCAAACAATGATGAGCAGCAGAAAACTCGGAGCCTGAGTAAGAGCGGGGAGCACGGCACAAGTACAGTACTGTAGGGGCAGGACGGTTGGACAAAGGGGAAAAATGATCAAAACATAACACGATGGTACTCGAGTACAATATGAGTGACGGATGAGTGAGAGAGGGAGCGACTTGCGAGGAAAAAATGTCGTGACCGAACCGTAGAGCAGGCCCCGATTTCTGGCAGAGGGGGAAGGACTGTGTGACCCAAAATGTGCTTTTTAGGGCACAGCACGAGAAAAAGAGAAGGAGTCTATAAACGGAACCTCTTCATTCCTTTTGGTGATCCGATTCGGCGGGCCCCCCCAAAAAAAAGCTAGGACACCACCATCATCATCAAGATCACCATCACTTTTGTGCCCCTCCCTCGTGAGCCTCAACCCTGTCAGCTGCAGTGCTGCATATTCGTCTGAAGGCACGCGCACCCCCTAGCTCACTCGCAGAAAAATAATAATAACAGTGATAATAACACGGAAGGGTGATCGGTTACCGGAAATCTCTGGAGTCTTACCGGTATCCCTTCTTCCTGTGGGCGTTGAACCGATATGATATTTCGAATATTAAGGGCCAACGCTTTGAAATGTCAATTTGGCGAGGGGTTGGGAGCCTCCCCTCCACTCGCTGGCCAAGGATTTAAGCCCTAACCCCCCATTGGTCGTTCGTCAGCTTCTCCTGGGCATCTCCGCTCCTCGACACCCCCCCTCCCCGCCCACCACCACCACCACCACCGCCCCTTCCCCTCCAACGAAATGTATCGAGAGCGATGAAACCTTTCCGCTCTTCCCCCGCACCTGCTGTCGATAAGTCGGCTATTGCGCTCATTCGCCGTGTTCTCTGCTATCACGCCCCTCCGCTTACCCCCCTCGAACAGCTCTTGCCAGCCTTGACCTCTTCCCCGGAGGTTGATTTGGAGCTTTACGCCTTCCTTGCCATCATTTTCAGGGACTTTATCTACTCCTGGTATTCCAAAATCACGACGGACAATGCCTTCGTCGATGAAATTATCGCTGTGGTGGCCCATTGTTCGAGGGCTATTGAGGAGCGAATCCGAAAGGTATCGCGGATTGATGACCCATCCCTCCTAATACCATGAGCTAACGCTGAAGGGAGGGCCTGAAAGGTCGACCTGGAACCCTTTCTACTAGATGAAATCCCTTCCTTTATAGAAAATCACGTCAGGGGTGGGCCGCGCCTCGGTTTCTCTTCCCCCCCGCTGCACCCTTCTAACAAACCTCAGATTATCGTTTAGCCCTCTCGCGTCATGGCACGCCAGTATCCCCGCACCTCACCGTACGTGAGATATTTCATAATTTTCAGCCTCATCCCGCACTTTCATCCTCACCGGACAGCGAAAAGCTTTACCTGAAGCTCGTTTCCTCGGGGATCCTAGCGGTCCTCCTGCCCACCGAGGACCTGGAATCTGATTGCGAGAGATCTCTAGTGAGAGAGGTGTTATCCGGGATGGTATTATGGAATGTGGTTGACAGCCTCAGTGAACCTCATATCATCCACGAGATGATTACAAACACCCTGGAGCTTTTGCGTGCTCCAATGAGCCCTCCCAGTGCTCCGGAGCCATCAACGGAGGATGAGAGAAAACTACCCATGGCTCATACGCGAAGAAAGAGAAGTTATAGTGAAAAGATACCGCCCGTACCGCTTCCGCATGGACACAATGGCTCGGCGAAAGAAAAGTTCCATGTCACGGAAGTACCCGCTCCACCAGCAAACTACAAGCTAATCCGAATACCCCCCGCTGTGGACAACCTTCTTACTGTCGCTTTCAAAGTGCTCTCCTTGCTGCGCACTTATCTCTCCTCCTTCATCACCAACCTGCACTCGCCTCCACCCCCCCCACCCCGGCCCAAGAAGCCTCTACTCCGCATGTCCCTCTTTCGCTTAATACCTTCTTACCTGCATCTCCCCACCCTCCAGCCCTGGACACTCAACAGCCTCCTATTTTTCACCAAGCCCCTCACATCCCGCTCAACCCATATCGGCCTCACCCTCGACAACCTTCTATCCTCTTCCTTCCACTCATACATCGAATCGCCCAGCTTACTTGTGCAAATTCTCCGTTCCGCCAGATCAGCCCTCTTCCCAACCCCGCCCGAGCCAGTCCGGACCCACCCAACGCCGAAAGAAAAGGCGCACATAAAACGTGCAGCGGAGGAGGCAATATGGGAAGCCATCCCTTCAACAGTACGAAAGGTTTATTTCGGGACAGGCGATAAGGAGGAGGGTTTGGCAGTAGTGGGTGAAATGCTGCTGAAGGCGGTGCAGGATAAGGAGATTAATAAGCATTTGTTGTATAACCTGTTGGATCTGATTGTCGGTAAGCTGATACCGGAGTTGACGGAAGAGGGGCCCGCAGAGTTACGGCGGGGCAGGGTGGGCGTTGTAGATCAGTAATGGTGCTTCTTTTTCTTTGTCAAATACGTGATTGTGGATAGAGCGGCTGGCAAGGTGTATTGTCACGATAGTGGATTATTCTAACGCATAGAAGGGGTTTCTTGCTGCTTGCTTGGCTGGGAGGTTAATGTTTGCTCCCGTTTTCACATTATGCATGCCCGATCTAATCATATTCTATCACTCGCATTTTGGTTCTAGATTCCGTTTCCTGAATGATCGTCCTATCTGATGAATGAGTTTACTTACGTGTTTGGCATCTCTATCGTGTCCATGTCTATTTCTCTTTAAAACAAAAGGTTGTGATTGGGAGGCTCTGAAAAATGGCATGGTAGTACTTGAACAGTATGATATCCCTAGGAGTTCAAATCCGCAGGCCATATGATTTTGAAAATCCTCGGGTATGGCACGAGCTAGGGCTGGGTAGATATTCCTTTTGCCACCAAATATGGCCCTAGAGTGTACTTGTGCAACCAAAGCACCGTTTTCTAACTTGCGATACTATAATACGATACGGTACAGTACAATGCTTTCCGTCCAAACTTCTCGGCGCTACGAGAAGTCACGGATGTCACCCCGGGGACGCTCAAGTTATGGCTCCGTTGTTGTGCCTATTTTGGCAAAGCTTTCGCGAGATTTACACCAACACGCCCTGTAAGTCCTGTGGATCGCCGGAAGAACTGTGCTCCCGTCAGATGTGGTAATAACTCCATCTTCCGCTCGATCACTGTGCTCGTACAGTACTATATCCACCCAAGAGGTATTAGTCAATGCGGAGTGCACTGTACGAACCCCCATTGCGGGTGCCTGCATCTTATTAAGGGCTGTTTGGGGCGGTGGCAAACCATTGTCTGGCTAACCGACCAATAGGAGGCCCGAAAACTAGCTCATCCAAGCCTTATCATTGGTCAATTTTCCAACCATGGTTGGCTGTCATGCCAAACAGCCCCTAAGATCCCTCTGAAGCGCCTTAGTCCTGCAGAAAACTCCGCTCTTTCTCCATGTTAAGGACGTGGGGTCCCTGGAACGCCCGGACAAATAACCCCGTCTGTCCACCGCCCGTTCTCTCGGCGCCTTACCTCTCCTCCGAGTTGTGAACTATCTACCATACGTCCCGGGGGCTAGGAAAGGGGATGTGATGTACTGTACCACGGAAAGGATCTCCACCCCACGCTGCCGCACCTGCATGAGAGATATCTATACATGTTAAATACTCTGGGCCACTCTTTACCAAAGATAGTTTGCTCGTCTCTGGCTGCATTTAGTGTCTGTTGCTCGATAGTATAGGGTCAACTAGGCTCTGCTCGCGGGGAACAAAATTCCTGCACTGAGCAGACGGGACTACTATTTATGGTCCTCCCAGCCCTGTGAATCTAAAGATTGGTAGGGTTCCGCAAGGACCACGGCCCGATAGGTAAGACATTATTTTGCAGTCCTTGTATAGTAGTTGGAGAGCGGGAGCCGGAATGGAGGAACTTGAAATGACGGGGATTTTCTACCTCCCCCCTCCAACCCTCCTCTGTGCTGTTTCTTTCCCATTTTGGGGGATGCTGGCGGGTTCTCGTTTACGCCATACCGGTATTGAGGATCGTGTTCTGTGCTGCTTCCTGGATGATTACTTTACTGACCCTAATGTCATGAGAAATCACTTGTTGGTAAACGCTCATACTCACAAATGGCAACCTGCAATACAAGATACGGACAAGAATCGCAGGGTTTACTTTGTTCGCTACACACCCAGCAGTCTTCCCCGGTGGGACCGTGAGGCCCAATATTCTAAGACATTGAATGAACCCATCGGGCCCCTCGCCCCCCCTAAACTAATCGCCGGACAAACTGTCTCTCGGATCGATTGAGCTCCTAAGGAGAGTGGGAAAGCTTTAAGATCAAGGAAACGAGGAACCACGTTATCGAAGGAAAGCAGGCTAGGACTTCGAATCAGCAGGAGCAATGATAGATTCATATGTAGGTATCATATGCCCACGTAGGTCTCAACGCACACATTCCCACCATAGGAATTCATATAATACACCACCTACCGGCAGTGGAGAGGCCCTGATTACGCAACACACGACAGATTTCTGAACCCCAACAATCAGTCAGCCCTCACTTGCCCTACATGGTGTCCCCAGATAGTGCCCCTGTTCCAACCTCCAGCTATATGAAAACCTACCTCACACCTGGTACTGACACCGATCCCAAATCACCATGAAATGCTCCTCCAACTCGTAATAACATCCCTTTCCTCTGCCCCATCACCTGCCCCTCCTCCCTCCTCCTCGCCACTTCTCTCACGGCGAGCACCCAAATCACACACACCACAAACTCGATACCTGCATACTAATTCAACTGAGCAAAAAAAAAATGCACCTTCTAAAACCCACCGAGAATAGCGCCACCGACACTCCCACCCCTGCCGTGGAGAACCCTCCTAATCCGTCTTGTATTCCCCGACCAGCAGGGAAGGGTAAGTGCACAGTCCACTTATGCCATTCTTGCCACAAGATATTTGTCCCTGTTGAGGGGGGGCTGTGTACAGCGTGTGAGAATTCCTAGCTTTGCAATGTAACGGGGAAAACATTAATAGTGGTACAGGTCGGTTGGGAGCTTAGATTTGCTTGGGACAAGGGGGTGGAGGGGGAGGGGGAAGGGGGTTGGTAGGCCAGTAGGGAAAATAGAGATGATGAGAGGAGGTGGAAGGGGAGTGAAGGTTCAAAATTTCTCAGACAGTATGATACGATACCGGCTAGTATCATACCACTGGCTTCCATATCCTTCTCTTCATAGGCCATCCTGTCTATCTGAAACCCGTCTCGTTTTTTCAATGAACATTTTCCCGCATTGTGCTAGCAGATGCTTTGCCATCCAAAAAGTTGAGCGTTTTTTTTCTTCTCTCCCTTGAATGGGCAATAGAGTTCTGGGCCCGATAATCTACCAGGTTAGCTCTCGTTTATCGGGAAACGCGACGATATATCAACACCAGCACACCAACCTGATCGAATCTAGCTTTACTTATTGTGGTTCTGATCGCGCCCCACGATACATGATCAAACAGCGTTTACCGCAATTTAGTAGAAGGAGTGATACACTGTGATTACATAGTGAGGCCAGGGGAATGCCAAATATCAAATCGTAGTGTCATAAAGCCGGGTCGGGACTGTCCCTGTTGTGGACCAAGTTTCAAAAAAAAACTTGTCCCTAATAGGATAGCGTTCCCCGGGTCCTTGAGCTCTACAGCATTTCCGGAACACTAGCGTAGCAAGAATATCGCTCCGGGCGGCCCCAGCCTAGTCCAGTGCTTACCCCAGGCTAGCGCTACACGGGCCAAGGCCTTCTAGAACCCACGGGCTTTACAGCGGCCCATGGGATTAGGTTTCAAGAGACAATATTAGTTTACATATTTGCACTCTTTACGAACTTGAAATCGGTTTACTTCTATCCTTTTAAGATATCGAATTTCTCTAAATGAGCCTGTATAAGTTAAAACCTGATTATCGGGCCTCAACTACAAAACATTTATTTTTGGTTAACTACTTAGCTAGTTATGCAAAGTAGGTATATAGTAGCTCAGAGAATGTTTTAGAACTTCAGATGACCTCTGTGGCATGTTTTATGTCCAAAAAACTGAAAATTTCGTAAATATACAACACATTTTCCTGCACTTTTCAAAAAAACCCAATAATCAGGTTTTAACCCATACAGCCTCAAATGCTCTATTAATTGAGCATTACCCTAAAGCAGCAGTGAGACTAGCCGCATTATGATATATAGACCTACCTCTCCAACTGATACCATTGAGAGTAGTGTTCATAATAGGACATGATAGAAAAGATAGGTTTAGTCAAATTTTTACCCTAGCCTACGAGGCACCATGGGCCCACATTTTGGTAGGCCGTCACGGGCTTTGCTGGGCCTGGCCCGGCCCGGCCCATGGTAAGCACTGGCCTAGTCCATACAATGTAGTTCGTAAGTTCATCAGATAGAGCTCCACAAAAACCTCTACACAGTATTCAAAACAGGGCAACCCGTGCGTCGTGCTATGATAGTAACACGGGGGCAGACTATGAATCACAGTCAGACCATCTCCAGCGAGGTTTTCTTTTTTTTTCTTTTTTTCTTTCTAGGCGTTTGGTTGAATGGCAAACAAAGACTATAGGCCCTCCTCCCATATAGCCGTTAGATATCTAAGAACATAGTGCCAAAATGTAGCTATGGGAGGCTGCCGACCCTGCGGCCAGCAGGCAGGTATGATACTGTGAAGCTTAGTCAAAACTCAAATCTCCGGTTTCTAATTATCTCAAAGTGTAAATGTTCACTAGTAGGTGATTTCTTATGTTGAGCCCGATAAAGAAATTACGTTTACCTCTGTTCATACAAGGTCCATGACACGGTCCCTAATTCAGTTAAGCCAACGCACCAGTACTACGTGAACTTTGGGGAAGCGCTACGAGAGAGAACCTGAAATAAGAGGCATAGGATTCTAAGGACAATTTCCTCCGCGATGGTGTTTCCGGACACTCACTGCAGTTTTCAGCCACAAGGACTAGAAGATGGTGTCCCAGTTTTCCGGGTTGGTGGTTCTTGCTAAAACCTGCAGTTCCCTAAATTTCACAAGAGCGGACGGACTGCAATGCTGAGTTGTCCAGTCTTACCAGGAGTCACCCAGCACGGCCGCAGGGGATCGATACCACTGCGAATACTACCTCTAGACAGACCGTTATACAAACTACGTTCCGTACATATAGATTAATTGGAACACACTTTCTATTGAACTGAACATTCCCCTAGACTGCATCAACGAAAATAGAAAGCCCGCACTAACCACCTTTCTTATTCACCCAATACCTGTAACTACCATACTAAATCCTATAAAGAAACTCTCCCTTTCCGCTCAATTGGAATCTCACCATAGAATCCCTCCATCTCTACAACCCCCTCTATAAAATCCCATCCCCAGACTCCAATCCCCTTTCCTTCTCTCGCCATAGCACATCTCATCCAATCCACAAACCACAAACCGCAAACCCGACAAACACAATCGCGCAATCACAGCTTTTTCAACCAATCGCAATGCCTGAACCCACCAACGACGTCCAATTGTGCCTGGCTTGCCAGAGCGTCTTTGTCAAAAAGCCCAATGAACTTTGCGCTTCCTGTGAGTCTCCCCTGTTATTCCGTTGTGGGTTTTTAGATGGGGATGGCTGATCTAGTGCGATAGGTGAATTGAGTCCTTACATTATGCCTGCTGGGTATGGGGATGAGAAGGATAAGAACTAGGTTTGTGGGGAGAAAGGGGGGTAAGGAGGGGGACAGTTATGACGGTTTGAAATGCCCTGGCTGGGCAACGGTAGCAGGCCGTGCCGCTATATATCTTCTTATATGTTATCATTATTCTTGACTTGTTTTATTATATAATCCCGCCCATTGCTGGTGGCGGTTTCTATATCATATCCTGGGGTTATCGGTGCATTTGAATCATGAGGCACTATACTGCTATAGGTATCACATCCAACAGATGTCCAATAAGCTTATGAATTGTTTTCACCATTCTTGCAATCCCACCTTCTCCAGGTTCAAATGGCCGAACAAAACAGCACATCACGGCGCATTAAAACAAGAGAGAAGGAAAAATAAATGGCAGGTGAACTTTACCAATGCAAACCCCACCATCCACCTGCCACCCCAAACTAAGCCCCCACAAGTATGTGAAAATGTGCCATGCCCTGCCAACTCCCCGAAATCAAAACCTACCGTTCGCCCCCTACCAGTGCACCCGCGTAGCTTCTCCCTCTCCAAACAAGAACCCACAACCCCCCCACCACCACCACCACATTACCCCGGATCCACAATTGAAAGAAAAAAAAAACAGCCATCAGAAAACCCCACTCCAACAAACCCAACTTAAAGCCTAAGTCCCCACCAAAGCAGTGAAGGAGAAATACCATCAACCAGCGTCTGCCCCAGGTATTACATAACGACCTCCGAATAGCGTCCCACCCAATACCTCTAATTTAAAATAAAACAACCCCTCCAAAGGCCTACCATAATCACACAATAACCTATCCTTCCACTATTTCCCCGCCTGCTTTTCAGTATCACGAATGTATCCAGGTGAGAACTTTACATTCACATCCAATCACACACTCTCACTCGCAGAGACCCAGCGGGCTCTGTTGAGATTGTTACTTCAATGTGATGGAGAGTGCAGGGATGTCCGGATACCTACCATTATGATGTGGATGATAATGCGAGTCACATTGATGTATATAGATCAGACCGCAGCTATAATAGGGATGGACTTGGGTACATGTGCTATGGCAGACAACACAACGCCTCTCGCAACAAGTTTATCTTTCAACCTCTAAGCCTTCTCATATCTTGAGCCAGATCCCTTTCCTCAATACCCACTCTTTCTGCGTCACTTACGACAGGTTCGTCCCTCATGATACCCCCACAACACCACTCCATCCCCTCCCCATCCCGTCGGAATAAAGTCAATCCTAGCTGGGAACTTGCATATTGCTAGTGCTAGTGCTGTGCAAGTAGATAACACAACTCACTCCCATAAATCATCATCCCGTGGGCCCTATTCAGTGCAAGGGCTGCGGTGGTAGGTGCGCAGGTACTATAGGGGTGTTTGGAACGTGTGGACTATGTAGCCTTGCCCCTGGAGTACATTGTGCTCAGTACCTGCGATGATTTTACTCCGGGTGTTTAGTTGAATGACAACTGAAGGCGGTAGGCCCTTCCTTGGATGCCTAAGGATATAAGCACTGGAAGAAAGCACTCAGCTAATACAGAGGGGGGGGTGAGAAGGAAAGGTTTCCAATTGTGAAGACAATAAATCCAAAGGTGGTAAGGTGGTACAAAAGTAACACTCGAGAAACTTAATTCCTACCGATATTGCTTCCGCTGTGATCTAGTTCGTGTTGAAAGCTCCACCGCTGCAGCACCGCTGATAGAGATAATTTCACCTCGCCAGGTTCCTCGCCTAGGAGAGGGTAGGGAACAGGCACCCAAGGGTTTCTTTCCCTGCTGGAGGTGGATTGAATGAGGAATAATCTTGTCTCAGAGCCCCTTAGAGTTATTATTCTTGCTCTCTCTCTCTCTCTCTCTCTCTCTTTTCCTCTTGACCTATCCCAGCTCAACGTGATATCTTGATTGTTTCTCCACAAGTTTTTTCTTTCTTTCCTTACATTGTGTGTTATGCCTTGGATCCTTTTCTTAGTTTCCGTTTTATTTTATTTTTATCTTCAACTTCTTCCCATGGCCCTCTATTTGGAACGCTACCTACCAATACCCGATGGCATTTGCCTATACTTGAGCATATTTTTCATAAAATCCCGACGGTTGAACACATCTAAAGGTGATTTTTGATTTTGAAGTTTTAATTTTCAGGATCTGCGCACGACGGTGGTTTTGGTCGTGTGTGGGCCGCCGTACTGATACTATCTTATTGGGAAGAAACACTTCAAGAGAAGGTTGAAAACGAGAGGTGGGGAATTCCAAGTGATCCAGGTTCCTCTGCGATGGGACGGCCAGACAGACCCCTACCACAGCACAGGGGCAATGGTTTGAAAATGGTTATCTCAGCTCATAGGTCCTTGCCAAAGCCAGCCGTTCTCTAAATTCAGTGGAGGGGATGGACTACAAATATTACTTTGCCCGGACTTTCTAGAAGTCTCCCGGTTGGACTGCCGGGCACAGAGTACTGGCTGCAGCTAGATGGGTGGTTGGGCAAACTATGTTCTGCACATAGATCCATGGGAACACCTTCTATTGGACCACTACATTCTCATAGGCAGCACCAAGGAAAATCTTAAACTCCCCACATACCACCTCTCGTATTCACCCAATATTCTGCAACTAGCATACTAAATCCTGCCAGGAAAGCCCATCTCTCCATTCCTCCGTCAAAACCTCCCCATAGAAACCCTCCCTCCCCACGACCCCTCCTATAAAAGCCCACCCCAAGACTCCAACCCCCTCCCCTCACTTCGCCATATCCCAAACCATCCAAACCACAAACCCGCCAAACACAATCATACAATCACACCACATCACTCCATCACCACCTTTTCAAACAATCCGCGATGCCTAAACCCACGGACGAGGTCCAATTGTGCCTGGCATGCCAGACCGTCTTCGTCAAGAAGCCCAATGAACTTTGCGCTTCCTGTGAGTCTCGCTTGCTATTCCCGCCATGAATCTTTGGGTGGGGGAGGCTAATTCAGTGCGATAGGTGAATTGAGTCCCTACATTCCGCCCGCCGGGTATGGAGGAGGGAAGGATAAGACGGACTAAGCTCATGAGAACAGGAGGGGGGGGGGGGGGGAGGAAAGGAGAGGAGCGGTTATGACAGTTTGAGATGCCCGCGATGGGCAATGGGAGCGGATCGTGCCGCTATATATTTACTCTCATGTTATCATCATTCTTGACTCGCAATCTTGTTTTTATTAAAATCCCGCCAAATTGCTGATGGCGGTTCTCATATATATCATACCTAGAGCTTATCCATGCGTTTAAATCACAGGGTAAGTTACCAACCAAGTCATAGCGCTTATAGATATTACGCCCGACAGATTTTAAATACATACAGTACGTGAACTCTCCCCATCTCACAATCCTTTTCCCCGGGTATCGCACAAATGGCTGAACAAAATTGTATATCACGTCACACCATAAGAGCGAAAGAAGAAAGGGCAGGCGAACCCCACCTCAAAAAAAAAATTCAAAAGTATCATAATATTATTATAATTATCAAAATACCCCCCTCCCCCTCAGAACCTCCCTAAACCGACCTAACCTCTCACCCTTTACCAGTGCCCCCTCCTGCCCCTATAAACCCCACGCACAAATTCTCACTCGCCAAGCGCAGTTGGAAGTTAGTAATGTATCGTAGCAGGATAGCATGCCCACCGGGCTACCCAAACGCCCACACAAGAACTCACAAATCAGGGACTGACCAACGCCTCCCCCCAGCCACACTGGGCCATATCCATAGCGCAAAGCAACATATCATACAATGGAAGAGCCCACCACCCCGAAAAACGAACTCGCTCCAAAGAGTCCCAGCAAGAAACCCACGGCCTAGCGCCAACCCATGAAAAACCTCATCGACCACTTTCACCCCCCAGGTATGATACTGTACGGTATCGCATAACCTATGATACCGATTTCCGCCCCCCCGCACTCCGACAGCTCCACTAACTAAAAAAAAAATCAAACAAACCTCGAGCAATAAGAAAAAAAGCCCCCCCCCCACCAACAGCGCACCAAAACCGCACGCACACAATAACCCACCCTTCCACTATTTCTTCCCCGGTTATGCAGTATCCCGAATACATCCACAGTCGGCACTCGGCAACTGCTGCCTATCACACCCTCTCACTCGCGGCGACCCCGCGGGTTCGTCCCCTTTCCCGTATCTCCCGTCCCATCCCATCCCACCAGGAATGAACCCACTTCTAGCTATGTTCTTCAATGCCGCAGAAGGTGGATGGAGGGGGGAGGAGCGCAAATTCGAGTTCACGTTTATCCGGCCTCGTATTTTCTACCCGCCTTATACACTCGAGCGACCGACAACCGTTACTTTATTTTCCTTTTCGTTTACTCTTCCCCTATTTCCCCTGTTCCCGCTAGTATTACCCGCGTTTCTCGCTTCCGCATCCCTTCCCGGTTTTCCACACCGGCCGTTCCGCCACGGGTATATAAAACGAAAGAGAGATATTAAAGCAGGTGGTTTTTTTTTTGAAGAGATTTAAATAAAAATAAAAACGACTACAGCTGTCCTATCCTACCTCATCTTATTCCCTCCCTTCCCATTCATTCATCCATCCCTTTACCCTCCTCTCAAAGGCAGCCCTCCAGGAGAAAAAAGTCGAATATTGGGAAAAGACATCTATGACATATACAAGAATCCGAAGTGATATCTCAAAGGAAAGGCAAAGAAAACGGAACTAGGGTATTAATAACCGAAAAAAGGATATAATAGTAGCCGGCCATTAATCCATGGCAGTGACAGACAGCGCCTGAAATTTGAGAAATGAAACGAAATGATAACACAGCGACCACCGGAACCCCTGACCTGTTTTTCCCGTATGTAAAAAAAAACCGGATCGAACCTTGGATCCGGACCGAAAGAAGATGAATAATGAACAGAGGACCGGCGAGCAGTCTATAGTTAGTAGTAGTGGTGGAGGAGGTAGGACAGGTTGAAAAAAGCCCAATAAATGGGTAGAGAGAAAATGACATGGAGGAAAACGCGGAAATGGAAGGAGGGTGGGCTGCTAAGATAAAGTTCCCATTAACGCAACATCATGATGTAAGAAGGGGGTTAACGAAGAAAGGAAGTTGAAAATGGCCGGGACAAGAGATAAAGATAGGAAAGAGATATAAGGAAGCACAACAAACAACATCCCTTTTCTTCACCTCCCTACCCGACTTATGAGGGGAAACAAACACAATAAGAAATATGTGGGGTATTCCAAAAAAAAACTCAAAAACACCGTGATATGATCCCCAAAAATACCCTTCTCAAGTTAAGAAAAGAGGAATGTAGGCCAAAGAAAACGAACTAACAAAAAATAAAAACTTTTTCCCTTTACTCATCGGAGAATCACCGCCCATATCAAGGTGGTGCACTAATTTTCTCATTGGATTCCATATTGTCCGGCCCGATTCTAGCTAGCAGCTTTCCTACGACAAGATACTCATCTGGTTCGACATACCCCACCGGCTGCCGTCTGAGATAGGTCATAACCACCTCAAGCGCACGACACGCATCTTCCCTAGTGGGTGATTGCGGTGTCTGTAGTGCCAAAGCCCCATGAGGGGAAGACGGGGTATGGTTCGGCGATGCCAATGGGTTGGGAGGCTCTGGTGCAGGGGATGCAAGCGCTGGTGGGGGCACCACGGCCTGGTTCGACATTTTGGGGGTCAATGGCTCTGACGACGGTGGTGGGGATATGTAGGTCGGATCAACAGGTATGGTCGGGAATGTCTGTGACCTTGGCCGCTGCTGCAGGTGCGGCATCCGTGCTTGCATGGAGCCACGCTGATCTGGTGAGAAGAATGGGGAGGTTGGAGAAGCTGGACCTACGTAATTAAAGGCTGCAATGTCAGTCGGATACCTGCCACAGACGCAGAGGAAAACAGACCCGAGACTTGTTGCTTATTGAATCCCCCAAACTCCATAAATGATTCGGGGGAATCTGTACCATTATGACTGCTATCCTGGCTCTTGGACTCTTGCATCATAGGCGACCCTAATACTGGTGTTGAATCCGTTCTAGAGTGGCCTGGCTTCGGTGACATTAACCCTCCGCTCGCCAGCCTAGCCACACCAGTCACATCACTCTCCGATCTCCCCCGCCCATTCGAGTGAAGGTTGTTTTTCTGTTTGAACTTTTCCAACCAGCCTTGACCATTTGCCTTGAATTGACTGTCCGATATCCCGACGCTGGTCGCGAAAAATTTAGCTTTTTCTCGGATCATCATATCGGTCAAGGCCACCCCCTGCTTCCGCGTGTTCTTCGCCCAAACAGCCAATGCGCGCTCAATGTCCGGGAATTTCCCTTTTGAGCGTTTCACCGGGGATCTGCTCCCGTCATCGGGAAAGAGATACTTTTCCTTCTGCCGAAGAACTTTCGAAACAGTACTGTGGCAAAGAAGAAGAAAAAACAATTAGCTCCAACCCTCAATCATCCAATTCGTGTTCTGCCGCTTACCTTCTCTCGACACCAAACATTGCTGTGAACAAAAAGAAGAAAGTCAGCCCACCAATCACGAAACCCCTTATGGGAGAAAGGAGAAGATGTCGCCACCATACCCCCGATTTCTGTTTGTTTCACGTTTGGATTCTCTTCGTGAAATATGCACATCCTCCGCCTGTCGGCATCTGTCAAAGTCCTCCTCGGACTAGAGGTGGTCTGAGTCGGGTGGCCGGGCTGGGTCATGGACAGCGGTGCTCCCAGTGTCGGCTGGTTTGGAGCAGCAATTGCCGGAGATGGAATGAATTGAGGATGCGAAGAAGCGACCCCAGATGGCTGTGGCGGAATCATCGTCTGGCCCCAATGCGGGAGACCGAGATAGTTCGGAGCTATCGGCACCGGCTGCTGCTGCATCCTAAACTGCTGCTGGTGGTGGTCTTGGGGTACGAACCCGGACGATTCGACGAGACCGTAGGCAGAGAAGTCATGGTGAGGATGTCCACCATTCTGCGCGTGATGTTGCGCCTCTTGGTGGTAGTGATGATGGTGCTGTTGTTGTTGCTGGTGGTGTAGAGTCCCAATCTCAACCCATTGCTGGTTGACAAAGTCGTCATGCGGGTTATGCACGCCTTCCATTGCATATGAGAAGAGTTACGTATGAGAACCAGCAGACAGGCTGACGAACAAAACAGACGGCAAACCAAGTGTGTGGACGATACAAGAACAGACAGCAGGCAACGGAGAGCTTTGGGATCGGAGGGAAGCGAGCGGAGGAATATAGAGATCCCGTGCCCAGCTAGCCCTGACAGTCAGGACAGTAGACTGGCCGAACAAAACACCTGCCCTAAATCGGTGGGGTGGCTGTGGAGGCGGTCAGTAATGTTATATAATTATAAATCCCACTCCCAATTCTCCTACGCCAATTTCAATTGTGTGATTTTTGTGATCTTTTTTTTGTTTCTTGGGATCCTCTTCACCTTCGAACCTCCCTCTCCTGCCTCGTGCGTTGTGATTGGGGGAGATTTGTTTTGTTCGCACCGAGAAACCCTCCTCTCCGAAAATAAAGTGCGCGTGCGCGGTGTAAGGAACGGGGATAATAATCTCAGCACGCTTCCTCTCTAGTCCTACCCGGGCAACCTTGACATGCAACCAACCGTAGTCATGCAATTAAGCCTCAGGAACACACTTTAGCTCCCCGCCGGTGGTGCTTTGTAGGGAGAGGGAAAAGTAGCAGCACAGTACCGTACGCGAAATCGACGCTCGAAAAGTTCTCCGGAAACTTACGGAAGAATTGACGACGACAGAGATGGGGAAGGCGCGAAGAGGAAAGAGGAAGCCCAGATTGTGTGATACCGGTAATGACAAAAAACTTATGGAACGGCAATGAATTTCGAAGGAATAGAATGAGATGAGGCGGACCAGGATGAGACAAGGGTGGTGAGAGGCAGGGAAAACTCACGGACAAACAATCTTCTTGAGCACCGTTACTTTTTTTTTTTTTTTCCACGCTTCCTCTGAGGGTCGATTTCCTACCCTCTGCACTGTACCGGTAATTCAACTCGAAATAAACGTTCGTGGGTCTGGACTTGTTGAGCAACTTTGCTTCCCTACAGACAAAAGAGAACTTCTCGCTCACTCATTCTGGGGGGTTTCACCGGTTGTGGATATCTTAGGCCACGGCGGCCATGGCCGGCTTAGGACAAAAAAGAAACGAGGAAGAATTGATGATGGCACGACCCCGGGGAAAGCGGAACCACTCAAATCGGCCGGGATGCTCTAGAACAGGGTAGCGGAAATGCACAGCACAAACTCGTAAAAACGAAGAGGGGGAAGAAAAAAGAAAGAAAGAAAAAACAGATCGCAAGGAGGAAATAGGAGATATTATTGCTGGAAGGATAGGACAGAGAAGGTGTGGAAAAATATAAAAAAATTCGAAAGGTTACCTTTAGGAAGACCACCGGTTCCTCTCGAAAGTTAATTTCGGCGCGGCGGTCGGCCAGAGCCTCTTTTTATCTAAAGAGCTCTACTTTTCTTTCTTTTGCGAAAACTGTTTCCCGTGTTATTATTATACGAAGCAGTTCTCCAACCCATGTGTCCATCGACCTATTTTTTAATACTTTTCTATTGCGACAAGGGGGGGGGGAGGGGGTCAGAAGGATAAAAGGGGTGAATGACGATATCTCAGGGTGCCCCAGAATAAGCGCCATCGTCTACTTATGACAGTGTGGACAATACGGTACTCGTACATCTCCAATAAGCGACAGACGGAGGAAAAAAAAAAACATCCCTACGACAGCTCCCATTCCATCCACTCTAGAAGACTCAGGGGCAATCGTCTCTCTTTTTTTTTCTTCTTCTTCCTCTGTCGCTTGCACGGTCCATCAATAACCAACTTCGTAGCGCATCGTACGAGTACAAGTACGTCGCAGCAGCCTCAAATTTCGTTGTTCCAACAATATCACCTCTAACGCGGGTTCGCGAACCTCCCCCTGGGAAAGAATGGCTGGAAGGAATTCGGGCGGGGAGAGACTGTGCTCAACCCCTCTAACCTCTTACTGTCAATCCTTCCCATACTAGTCTACCGGTGCCGCAGTTTTCCTGGTTTCTGCCTCGGAAAGGATACTAAACTCTCACAGTAGAACATGACAGCCTGCCTCCAAATAGCAATATCCGCAATCAACACGTAGCACAACGATCGAGATTATGTCAGGCCGGGCAGTTTGCTCTGTTCTTCACCAAATCGATAGGATGAATGCGAAGGGAAAGGGTGAAAGGATATAACAAATCATATTTCTTGGTTCTCTCTTTGTTGAGATACCAAGTATCATAGTCAAAGTCGCAAAGAGAAGCCCTGTGATTCTTTTTAGGTGTGGTGGAAAAAGGATATGATTGCTTTTTGACGGATGAAAGATCAACCAGGAACTTGTAACTAGTACGGTACTAGTACAGTGCTACCGTAGCTTTTTAGGTCACTGTGACGGATCATTTGCCGGTTCGCAATCTTACGTCCTTCCTCATCCATGTGCGGACTCCGCAAAAGTAACCGGACCGAGTGGGGTATTAACCCGAACACGCCCCAGCTGTTTCAATGCGGACGTGTGTTTACTTCTTAACGATGGTAACCTAATGAAAGAGGGAAGGCGGGGTTAGTGAATCTGAGAGCAGAAAGACCCTACAAGCGCGATAATGCCTACCACATCCTCATCCTCCAGAACGTGTGAAAGTCCAACTCTTTGTGGCTGATGTTTCACACTGCTGCCGTAGACAATCGCAATTTTGAAGGAATCGATAATGCTTTTGTGAATCGCTTTGCACTGTAAAACCCGTCAATCTGACGACATCCAACAACAGGAGCAATTATATGAAGGGGGGAACCAACAAAATCCTCGACGGCACAGGCATTAGATCTTAAAACAACAGGTTGTGTGTAGTCAGGCGTTTGGCCTTTGGGCTTTGTATAGACCCTTCGTAAGTCAAGCTTTTCCCACCTATGTGTCTTTCAGTAAGTTGGTCGTCCCTGCACCACGTGGGGCGCGCGCTACGGATTTGTTCCTCACATCAATTCTAGAAGCTCATCGACATTCCAGCCCTGCGGTTCGACAGCGTCAGTTGCAAACTGTGCATACGGTCGGGAATGGTATTCAAGAGAGGGGTGCGGATGGATTTGTGCGTGACTAACCCTTTCCGATGATATTGGCACAGAATTGGGAATTCTAGTAAGCGAGCGCTAAGTCAGACACAAAACCTTCCATGCAGCGAGCCTCCCATCCGCTTACCGATAAAGTAAATCAAGCTCCTCGATTGATATAGCATCAATTTTGTTGAGAGCGTAGATTACCGGAATATATCTTCGGCTCTTCTCTTCGATGACATCGATTAGATCATCAACAGTCGCATCACATCTAAAAGCGATATCCGCAGAACTTATTTTGTATCTGGAAAGGGTCAGCCACATTCCCCAATAAACCCGACCGCACAAATCTCAGCTGTGGAGGACATGGGAGGAGGGAATTCGTCGCCGTAGCCCACATGATTTCGGGTGTGGGGATGCATAGCCGAGCCAGAATCTCTCTAGGGTTCCCGCTGGCTCAGGTTGTGACCCCATCGTTTCGGGTAATAGTCTCGCGGTGGTATGGGATCGAAAAGGGGATGACAAGTGCTTTTTTCCTTTTTCCTCATTCTGCGCGATAACTGGCTCAGGGACTTACTCTGTTGTAACCGCTCTTATTTCCTAATAGTTCACATGTATTTACTAGGTATTTTTTTTTATAAAAATAAAATAGAACAAAAATTGTAACTTACCTCAGCGTCAAGATGAGTAAGCGGCACGGTGCTAGTGACACTAACACCTCCCTTATCCTTCTTCCTGAAGACAATGTTTGGTGGCTGCTTGTTGATCCTGATACCAAATCCCTCCAACTCCTGCTCGATCATCTTCTTATCTGTGAGTGGCTTGTTGACATCTAGTACGATGAATATAAGGTTGCATTGCTTTGCTACCGCAATCACTTGGCGACCTCGACCCTTTCCATCCTTTGCGCCCTGGATAATCCCAGGGAGATCCAACATCTGGATTTTGGCCCCATTATACATGACACAGCCGGGAACAGTCGTGAGCTAAATCCTTGTCAGTGTGGCACACCGCGAGAGAGAAAGTAGGAACTAGGTGGGCATTTAACATACGGTCGTGAACTCGTAGGCCGCTGCCTCGGAGTGGGTGCCCGTGAGCAGATTTAGGAGAGTACTCTTACCGACCGAAGGAAACCCTACAGCTCAATGAGCATTTCAACCCATGGAATACCTATACCTGGGGGGGCTATATATACCAATGAACCCCCTGAGCATTTATTCGTAAGCAAATATTCAAAATTCCGGTACACAGACCTAGGAAATATGAGGCTTAGGCGGTACGTACACGCTGGCCACACCGGTCCTTGCGACATCGAAGCCAACTGGAAAAGCGGAGCATAGTTATTAACCAAACTCTCCGGAAACAGTGCTCAAATGGTGGTCAACTCACTCCCGGCGCCCCCTCCAGAGGAGGAGGGAGTCACAAGTTCTCGTCGTAGCTTGGCGAGTTTCGCTTTCAATTGGCCCAGGTGGCTACGACATGGTGAGGTCAGTCCAGATCCGTAGTCAATTGAAAGGCGATGAATGAGGAAATGCTCACAAAGATGTTGCCTTATTCTTTTGGGTTTTGGCTGAAGTCCAGTCAATAAAACGTTCGCCCCTTCTCGCACTCAGATTATGGTAAACTCACCCATCTCATCTTCGATGGCCTTGATCTTCTCCACTGAGCGGCTATTAGAGTCTCGCCTGAGGCCAGATAGGGCGGGAAGCCTTACCAGTAGTACTCATTCTGTCGTTACCGTTATTTCGTCAGATGCTGAAGCAGGTACAAATCGGAGGGTGGTGTGGATGTTGGCTCGGGATAGCAGTTGTCTCGGGAGACGTGGAGAGAAGAAAAGCTTGTGTGGGCCGGCTTGACACGCGGGGAAGATGTTGGTTCCGCCCCACGGGTTGTTGATTGGGGCTCGACGACAAACGAAACGTAACAGCGGAAAATGTAACTTCCCTGCCCATAAAAGGCCCAATGCGAATCTATGCAACAGGATTGCATATTGCATATTTCTGTCCCACAGACTTTACTTTTTGTATTTCAACGTCTGTTCGGCAAGCATCGGCCTTGGCTGGTGGTAAAACTTGGTTGAGCCGCACGGCTATCAGGGACTGCACCGTATCCCAACACACTGATGACCCGGAGAACCAGAGCACTGGCAGCCAGGCGACCTCTTAACCGGTTGGGGGGTGGTTTCAGCCCTCGAGCTCAGAGACGGCCAAGGTCGCTGGGCACATGGCAATGCCTGAAGACGTATCGTAACCCGATGATCTTTTTAGGTAAACCGCCCCCCTCCCCAACAGGGACAACAGCCGCTCGAGCACCGCACCGGTATTGGAAGCCATGTGCTCCATGCGCCGGATTCACGCAAAGTGTGCTGTCAACGATCACAGGACTCGTCCCCTGACCCCGTCCTCACCATCAAGCTTCCGTAAACGAGAGGGGATGATGGGCAGGGCAGGGATGCAAAGGGTACACATAGCCACTCTCGATGACCGGCCTTGTCGTGCGGTACCGGTAGTGCGCGAGTTACGTGCCATGCCAATACCGGTGAGTTAGAGGAGGGCTACCGGTACGGTAGAGGCAAAACATAGGCTTACCTAGTAGTATAGTCGAGTTGAGATCCAAGCTGAGCTCCTCCTCTGTTGAATTGGTGGATGAATGCGACTGGCCATGCCAGGGATCAGGATCGGTATTGTGTGTGAAGGTTTCTTGGTTTTGCCTCGAGCTTTCTGCCTTATGGGGCCGGGAAGGGTATGCATTGGCGGGAATCTTAATCCTTTTGGTCGTCGTTCCCGTATCGATGGGCCGCCGCTTAGCATCGCTGGTTGAAATAGCTACGACTTGCCGTAGATTCGTATCAAACCGCGCGATACAATCCAGTACACATACTGCACCGGTATCATGCATAAATACCCATACCTCACAGCTTCCTGCTGTCGCTGCTGCCACTGCTCGTACGGTGTACGCACGAATTTCGTTGATGTTCTCTCTGCCCGAGTACCGGTACTTGTATGTGCTCGGTCTCTGTGAATTTACCGGAACATCTTTTTTTCTTGGGTGGAACTAGTCCCCATATGTGACTATTTATACCTTCAGGGTTACACGGTACAAGTCCGGATTCACGGTATGTATGTATGTCTTCTCTTCAGCTGCCTGCCAAAACCTATCCCACAGCTATCGTGCATTGAAGCTAAGCAAATCCAAGCTGGCCACACATACAGACGCATACTCTGAAATTATCTACCGCCCATCGTGGAAAATCGTCACCTTCTCTCTCGGGTGTTGTCGCTGTGAATAGAATTTCCCGACCCTAGTCTTCCATCCCCGGGCCTTCCCTTCACCTCCCCACTCCAACAACCACCCACCTATTCATTCACCCACACCACCACCGCAACCACCACCACCACCCGCACCCCTCTGTCCGAGCTCTTCTCTTATACCGCTCTCACTCCCATCCCCTCCGCCCTCCTCCGTCCCCCACCAACCCCTTCTCTCAATTCTCGGTTTTCGGTCGAGAGTCTTTCTGCTTGCTGTTTGTCGTCTCTCTAGGTCTCTATTCATCCCTATCGTCAGAATGGTTTTCCCGGATGTCTCCCCTGAAACTCTTGAGGTGACCTCTGTTGATAAGTGCACCTGTTCTGGGGTTTGCAAACGCAAAACGGACTTTGACAACCTTGTGGAGAAAATTCGCTTGGCCCTCGGGCCATCCGCTGGCATTGATAGCGATGAGGCCAATTGCGAGCACTTGATTAATCTCATGCGGCGTTATGCCTCTAGGGAGCCGGAATGGTCAAAGTATGCGTTTGTCGATGCTACCAGAAACTATACCAGAAATTTCGTGGACCATGGCAATGGAAAGGCCAATCTGCTCGTCCTTGTCTGGAATCCCGGTAAGGGATCATTGATCCACGATCATGCGGACTCTCACTGTATTATGAAGGTTAGTGTTTGGTGTCGGACTGTCGTTCAATTTAGTTTCTAACACGAGTCCTACAGATTTTGAAGGGTTCGTTGGTGGAAACTTTGTTTGATATGCCCGGACCCGATGATGAATCTAAGCCTTTGAAGCACAAGGGCTTCACCATCTACGGGGAGAACGAAGTGGCCTATATTAGCAACAAGGTTAGAGCTTTTCTTCCACCCCCCCTTTGCCCTCCCGCTGCGCTCGAGAAAGTTACTCACCCAAAGACTTTAGATTGGTCTTCACAAAATTTCCAATGACGACCCTGATGAAATTGCTGTCTCTCTTCACCTCTATACCCCTCCGTGGAGTGAGGGTGAGAATAGTTAGCTAACCCACCCCTTTCATCTCCGTCAACCAAGGGGACCTGCCTAACAATATTGTCTAGCCGGCTGTCATTGCTTTTCGCCAAATGGAAAAAAGACACTTGTCAATTTGAGCAACTATTACTCGGTGCACGGGAGGAAGAATTAGAAACTTCCTTTCAATGTCTTTTTTTTTTTTTTTTTTTAATGTTTGGGAATGTCTTTTTCAAATTTTTTTTTTCTCAATGGGAGGTCCGGGTATTGTCTTGGTTGGGGACAATTTTGCTATTTTAGCTATCATTTGTTAAAGGTGTTGTCTTGTTTTTCGCCCCCATTATTACATTTCCGATCCTTTGGTTGGACGCAGTGTCGGGTCTGCGACTGCTGGATATTCTGTTCGCTGGCTTCACCAATTCTTTATTGATACAAAAGGTATATTTCCTTGGTCCAATGGCTTAGCTGAATGTTCCGGAATTCTATTCGCGGATTGTGTTGCACGACATATCACTCATGCTGGTTGTTGGCCGGGTTTGTAATGTATTTTAGCCAGAAGGTCAAGCAACAATGCTGGTGTTTCGGATCTGCAGTTACTTGTGATGCAAGTCCTATGGGGTTTCAAAGTGCCTTTCGGATTGGGACAACGGACGGTGCGTGGTTTGATTTGGCACGCTACCGGCTTCCACCAAAAAACCTATTTATCCACCACGATACAAGCAACAGCGCAGGAGAAAAACGGCACATCAGATAGCACGGTACAAGTACATAAAATATCCAGCACCGATTCAACAAGGAAGGGTTAAAAAAAAGCTCCAGACGAGTCCTCCCCTGTTCTCTCGATATGGACCGTCTCACACCCCTCGTACCCATAGCCTACCTGCATTTCCTCCTCGTCTTCGGGCAGATATTCGCTAGTCACTTCCTCCTCCTCCTCCCATTCCATCACTGCATCGCCTTCTGGCTTCCACCCCCTATTGGGCTCCAAGTCGTTGGCATCGACCTGGCCATAATGCCCACACCCGAACCTATTCAATTCGGACTGGCTGACACCGCAGCGCGCCCAGGTCATGTATCTTTCGGCAGGAGTATGCATCGCTGTCCACAGGAACATGGTGCACCGCTCTAGGGTAGCGCGGATTACCATGCACTGGATGTAAGTGGTGTAACAGATGAGGTCGAGGGACCCGGACGTGCTCAGGGACCCAGTCCCCTGCCAGTACTTGCCAAGTGGTGATCCCGAACCCATCCCGCCCTCCTGATAGAAGGCTAGTATCTTACCAATCTCGTAGCAATCATCCAAGTGCACCATGAACGCGTATCTATCCTCCGGCGACTCTTTGTCGGAGGTATCCTCCAGCACAGGGACCTTGAGCGTGAAAGCGCCCAACTCCAACATCCTCTCACCAAACAGCGCAAGACCCATGAATATCCTGCGCAATTGCCGGAGCGTGCAGAGTCTAGTGCTCGTGGCTTCGAGGCCAATGCGGATGCTGATCTCGTTGTAGTTCTCCAGATTGTCCGCCTCCGGAAAGGCTTTTTTGATGGCGTCCTCGACGAGGTTGAGGGTGCGGCAGGGCCGGGTCTCCAGTAGGAGGGGGACCACAACAGCGAATGAAGTTGCTATCTCGTGGGTGGCCGACATGTTGTACATTACAAAGCTCTCGCAGGAGCGGTGGTCGCAGCTCGTGTAGTACCTCTCGCAGTGCCTGTGCGGTCCCGGGAGGTAGTACTTCCGGCCAGTGTTCTCTGGGCGGGGCTTTAGACCGAAGTGGCTGGGTGGTTCGCTCCTGTTCGCCCAGGGTGCTGGGAGAAGCCGGTCGAAGCCGATTTCGACCTGGAGGTAGATGTACCCGTCCTCACGGATGTTTCGGGGTAGTGCCTCCAGGGTTGGTGCTGATTGGGCAGAAGAACCGGGATATGGCGGTGGTGGCGGAGGAGGAAGGGCTACTGGTGGACCCGGTGGGGAAGGATTAGTGACAGATCCATCACGCCCACGTTGTCGACGCCCTTTGGATGGGGCGAACGGTATGGATGGTTGTGTGTTTGCGGACATATTTTCGCTGCCCCTGCCGAAAGGTCGAAATGTGTGCCGGCTTGGAATCGGGGCTCGGGGATGAGTAAATTATGTGAGCTTTTGGCGTCAAGAGCGCATAAGGTGGGAAAACAATTTTATATTGGAGGGGATTGATCATTCTCTTGGGAGCTGGGAGTAGTCCTCTTATTTTTCGTGTGCGTACGTGGCTTGTCCAGCAGTCGGCGGGGGAAATGCATGAACTCAGGACCTAGGCAGGATGACGGCGATATGGGGGGGGGGGGGTTGAAAGTTAGGGGTGACGTACTAAATTTCAACGATAGCGGGAGCGTGTTACGGGCTCGGCGGAGAGGGCGAGTCTGGGGGAGATCGACTCGGTGGGTTATGGGTATGGTACAGGCCTTGTACCTGCGCGTGATATCGAGGGTCAAGAAAGTTTCGCTGGGTCACCACTCCTGCGAAAAACGGCAAACTATGGAGTACTTGGTCGGAAGATATAGAGTAATGATCGTGATGAGGGTTACCGATATTCATTTCTTGACATGTCCGGTCTACGGAACGCTTTCGGGATTGCGTAAAGTTTTGGGTGGCATTATATTCATGTCTTCAATGCTGGAGGTAGTCTGTGTTTACTGGAGGCGGTCTCTGGCAAGGGTCAATCCGAACTTGGTTCGATATGGCAAGGGCGCGAGATCATCTATCTCTAGAGAGAGGTTGGTTGATAGGTTGCCTCGTATGATATCATGAAATTAATAGATCTGCCACTGTGAACGAGGCCGCGAGTGATGACTAGTGAATGGGAGGTAGCACCAATTTTACAATGATATTATCTAGCTAGCCGCTGGGCGCTTTTCCTAGAGGAAATTTTTGAAAATAGAGAGCCTCCATTTGTTGATTAGCCGCTACCTGTCTGGTTTGAATTTTTGGCGCTGTTTGTTCAGTTTTGGCTTGGGAGCACCGCACTACGATCCCCACAAGGCTGTTTCGGACAATTACTCGAGTAAAGCACTCTGGAACCGAGTAGAAAAGTCATATCAAGTGACGGGGTTGCCCCAGAAAAAAGGAAGAAAAAAAAGAGTTCAGCAACCGGGATTCCCACATGGTCACCCACTGTAGTACTAACCGGTCGATACGATGCTTGTTTACCGCAGAGCGGACGGGATGCGAAATTTTCATCGTTCTATGGCCGAACACATTTGGATAGGATTATTTTCAAGTCATAACCCGAGGCACTGATTTTGTCTAAACATTGAAATGACCCAAGTTTTGCTGCCAAACAGCTGGAGATACATGCTTGTGGAGTGAGATTATGCTTGATCATGGTGCCCGGGCGTGTTTGGCCACGGGAAAATGGGGTTTCGGCACTCGCTCGGCCTTCCTCTTTTTTTTTTTTTTAATTCATATACTTAATGATTCTGGCTCAAAAGTGTACATGCACCTGACAATATGGTAATAGAAAAAGCTTTAATTCTAATGATAAATAATAAGGAAGCACATACAATATAGCAGTTTCTTTAAAGTGGAGTAAAGTAGCTCCTTGGATTGCCTACCATAACTAACAAAAGGAAGCAAAGGAATCCTCCTCCTCCAGGATGAAGGCATAATATAAAAGGAATACAAGTAAAAATAACCTGTTACACATATGGATGTACAGACCTCCCCTGCATACAGACCACCTGAAAACTGTGAAAAATCCATGGCCAACACCCCCCCCCAGCTCCACTGTTGGGCTTGTGTGTTGTAGTAGTATTACCAGACTTTTGTGTCCTGTTACTATAAATCAATTAAAATAAAGCATGCTTCATAGTACCATATATATCATCACAGTCTGTCTGACTGAAAGGTGTTTGCAGGATATATAAGAGGGGACCTCAGGTTGTATCTGAAAAGTAGGATAAAGTCAATCGGGCAGGTAACTGCAAAGCTATAAGCTGTGGGAGATTAACCATCTTGAGTATAGACAGAAGATGTTCAGGCGAAATCACTAATAGTCTAATAAGTTATTGGGACGTACCTGTAAGGATGAGGCATGAGGCCCAGTCCAGTGCTTGCATAGTATTGAGCCACTCGGAGGCCTATTTGTTATTAAGGAACTTTTCTATAAGATTGGCTAATTCAATCATGGTAGAAAGTGCTCAAAGGTTAATGTAGTTAAGTTGTGAAGTCAATGATGCATTGATAAGTCTCTTAATGGAGTTAATCATTTCAGTCAGAGAAAGAGGGATGATAAGTTGGCTTGAGTAGAGATCACACACCTAATCAAAACCTCCTAGATGATGGAATTGTACTCACTTTTACCAGAGTGGTTTTGAAAAAACCTTACAGAAACATGATAGTATGTAAAGACTGTAGTCTGAACAAGATAAATATATTCAGGGTCAAATGGATCCCTGTTGTGAGAGTAAGACACAGGAATTGAAAAGGGTATATTGTTTAGTATTGGATAGATGTAGTCTATGACTATCTAGATATGGAATATAAATATTGAGATGTCTTTCTAGCTTTAAGAATATCCTCCTTCTCTGCTACACCTCCGGCGATTGAAAACTCAACACCACAGTTTTTATCGTAAGTTTTTTGTTTCATCGCGAAAACTTTCTCCACCCTCCTGCCCACTCCTGCCTTTGGCCTCGGCCTAGGGGAGTCTGGCTCTTCTCTCCTCTCACGCCTGGGGTATTGACTTCGGTCTACCGTCACAAGGCCCTCTCTCTCCCGGGGGGTTGGTCGGTCGGAGGACCTCCGTGGCTGGCTTGCAGGTGGTGGGATCCCTTCCACTATAGTGACGCTATCTCTCCCAGAACAAGGGACTACATGAGAGACGCGGTAAAATACCTGCTATGCTTTGCCTAGGTGGCCATTGATGATCTTCCTTACTCCTCCTTCCTCCTCCCTCCACACGTGGTGGGGAGTCCTCTCCTCCTCCTGAGTTGGCCTCACTTAGCCTTCTCATGGTCAGCAACCGCTTAACCACCATCGTCAGACGGCCGGGACTACAGTAGCAGTAGGGGAGAACAGCCAACAGCCTACGGTTGATCTCCCCATTCTCCTATTCCCCTAAGAGGCTGCCTAGTCAGACACAAACGTGACTACCGATGGACGATGTTTAAGGTCTTGGGGTCTACCCTTCTGCTCTCCTG